TACATCCCAAGTGTTTTGATCAGAGTATCAAACACGGAATTTCGTCTTTTATTTCTTTTCTAAAATTAAAAGAATAAAAGAAATTTTTGACGCGCACGAGCGTGTTTTGATACTGTAATCAAACATGGTTTTCGACCAATCACAGCGCGCGTAGTATCCTAAATATTTTAGAAACTGTAATCAAACATGGTTTTCGACCAATCACAGCGCGCGTAGTATCCTAAATATTTTAGAAACAGTTATAAAAATGCGTTTTTCCATGTATTGATATTAATCTACACTATAATCGTCATAAATTATTTTTTGATTGCAATTAGCCATCAGGAAGCTTGCAGACGTTATCCGTCTCACATTTGAAGAACAAGGCAGACAGGAAGCCCATAAAGTGAAAGTGAGTAATGAGGACTGTATCAGTATTCTTGACACCTTTGTGCTGTGACGCAGGATGARTAACCATATTCAACTGACTTACCTTTAACATATTATTTCTTAGATGTAACGTACCAAAGATGAAATTGAAAATACTTCAAATCACCATTGACATTGTGGTTTTCTTGGGTGTTATGATGTTTTCTATGACAGTTTCGGGTAAGTGACAGGGAACGGTTTTTATTAAGCGATAAATGTATGAAAGCGCGGTGCAAATAACGATGAATTATTCGAGACTTATCGAGAAACAGAGTGAAACATGAGTGAAGATCAACATGCATGTAAAAGTGATGTGTTCATATAGCAGCATATAATAAAAGCCTGACAGTGACTGGKAATRGTGACAGCATGAATAGAATGAGAGAGCACTATATAAACCACTGAATTTCATGATGTAATCAACCACCAATCGTCTCCGCAATAACACGGAACTGTACAGGCGATTGGGATGATTGAAGAGACTCAATGTGAAATTGRTAGAGTACGAACAATAAGGTTGGCTSCATATATTCAGGCGAGAGAGACTGAAAAGTTCAACCTATTTTCGTACTTGAATTAGCTTGAACCGACACCTCCCTTGCCATGGTCTACCTACGAATAATCCGCGACTTAACATCTTCGTCCACAGGTTCGGCCGATTCTCAGTGTTCCTGYTACAAGTTTGACCATAACCYAAGTGACTGGGAGAAGAGCAGAAATACKTGCAATGCAACTGGTGGAGACATAGTATCCATAGAAACGTTACAAGAATGGAAATTTATCAGCAAAGAAATAAAAACAATAACTGATGATACTAGCAATAGTCAATGGTGGATTGGTTTGCAAAGGAAGAAMGGACTATGGGTATGGTTCAGTAACAATAACGTCACTTACGACAGGTGGAAAACAATGAGCTTGGACGAAAGAGAAAAAGATAGTTATATCTTTGCCGTGATTGATAAAGTAGATGGGAAATTCATAAAGGCAGAGAAATCCTTGTCAAGTGGGAAGATTTGCGAATACAAAGGAAAAGGTAATTATAAGGAGGTCAAGGAATATAGAGAGCTCTCTATGCATAAGTGCATGTGTCCTGTATCACAGATATCGAGGAAGCGATGTCCGTGCTCTCTCATTTGTCTCATAAATTAACTCAATCTCATAAGCTATAATGAAAAATAATGAAAAAAAACTTGTATAGCGCATATACAAGTCTGTTCTATGCGCTCTGTATAACTAACAAACAAATTAAACACTAAAACCTAAACAAAACAAATAAGTTTTGAGTTCTTTCTTA